AGGGTGGTGGGTCAGCGGAACAGGCTCCCCAGGGAAGCGGTGACAGCCCCAAGCCTGTCAGAGTTCAGGGAGCATCTGGACGATGCTCTTAGTCCTATGGTGTAGTGTTAGGCAGTCCTGTGAGGAGCAGGGAGTTGGACTTCATGATCCTTATGGGTCCCTTCCAACTTGAGATATCCTATGGTGTCTTAATCACAGTGTAGTACTTAACAGGCTGGAAAAGCTGCCAGTCCATGGTGTCACGAAAATGGGCATTTATTTAATTCACCTCCATTATCTCTCAGGTAGCCATGTCTCCCAGGTTTAAAGACCAAAACCAACACTAAAACCAGAAACTTGGTCCGTCTTCTATTTACAGGAGGGAATGTTCCTTACTAGTGGGTAAAAAAACCAGTCTTGCTGAGCTCTACATTATGTTTGTTTGTTTTTTTTAAATACTGTTAGTCAATAGGTATATGAAACCATAAAATAATCATCTAATCATTTTACAACCCTGAGCTCAAGTCCCAAGAGTGACGAACGTTTGCCGTTGTTAGTGTTCTCGAGTGCCTCACTGCAAGTTGCATACTGTTTTATCCTGTTCTCCAAGGCACATCACCTACAAACTCTGCAAGTAATAACCAAAAAGTGCTAACAAAACACAGCACTATCTTTGCATGAACTGAAGCAGCCCCGCACAACAGCATCTCTCCCTAACTCCTAAAAAAAGGGTACTCGACCCCACTGACGGTCACACCATTGGTCATTATCATGCAAAGAAACAGGCAAATGAAATACATTACAAAACCAATAATCTCTTCAGCTCAGGGGTAAACTCAGTCTCACTTGGCTAAAATTGACTCAAACTGTCAAAGGGAACCGCTGTCTTTGAAACTGCGTACCCTGAGCTCCACCTCCTCCTGTCTTCGATAAATTGAAAATAGCTCCGACTTGCTCAAGAGGCAGAACAGGGCAAAGACAAAAACATCCAGATGGACTGCACTGTTGAGACATGAACTCATTTCCCAGTGGTAAAAGCCTAAATTCAGCTCAAAGGACTCTTTCAGAAGTCCATAATTTAAGATTTGGTTGGGAATGGCAGGTGGGTGACAGTAACTTTTGGTGTGTGCGGCAATACAAATTAGGCCATCTAAGAAGTATCTGAGCTTTGTAAACAGGAGAGTCAATAATTCAGGCAGGCATGACAATACAAAACAAATAATCACCACACTTTTATCCAGAAAGATAAGTTAGGCTGAGATAATACACTGAACAAACAAGCTCACACAGCTCATGCCTTAGTAAGGATAAGGCACTGTCTGGTGGAGTAGCAGTTTAGACTCCCCAGAAAAGATGCTGCCCTTTAAATCGCTCATCTTAGAATGCTGATTGTGTGTTAATTCTCTTCAATCCCCCCCTTAAAAACGCAATGTTAAGAATTAGGTAGAACTTTGCCTTAGGCTGTAGGATGGGTTTTTGGGGGAAGGAGAATTTCATCCCACTTTCCAGAAACATTCAACCCAAACCCTAAGTTGGTATAACTCGTCTGTGCTCTTCTTGAAGGAAGCATTTCAGCAACACGAACCAACCCCTCACCTTACTAAATACAGCAAAGCTGATACAAACCGTCATGCTTAGTTTGTCAGCATAAGCAGAAAGTAGTAAACACACTCGAATACATCGCTCCGGGTCGGGCAAGCTCTGCAGAAGGCGTGCATGCCAATGCAAACTTAAGCAAAATGAGAAGCCACGGCAAATCTCAACCTTGAATCGCCTGCCTTTTGTATGGCCCACTTTCCTTGTCTTGCTGAAATTTGTACTTCGTAAGATACCACGCCGCAACACTTTTAGACCAGTATGTCAGCTTTTGATGTGTTTGTCCCAGATAACGAGGAGGATCTGTTGACATCATGTCACATTATGACAGACTGTTAAGCAGGTTAGACAGTTTAATCTTCTTCCACAGAAAGTAAGTTCAGAAGTCTCGGAAGGAAAAAAATACAAGGTGTATCATTGCTGTGAACTAAGTAATAGAAAAAACTGTCCCAGATTTTAGAATTCTGAATAGCAGCCTAATACTGTAAATTTATTGAGAAGAAAATCATTTTGCAAAATTGGAATACAATTGATTTACCAAGATTTTTTTTAGCATTTAAAAATCATTTAATAACAGGCCTGACCATAAAATAGTGGCACAACAGAAATGTAGGTTGCAAATGTGACGTGGAATGCATAGAACCTCCGGGGCGGACCAGCCACAGTAAATACAACAGTCATAATCATGAGTGTAAATTCACTTCCATAACTGGCTTTTTCTTCTAGAAGGTAAGAGGGTGTATATAAATATTATAGAGAAAACATTTAAGAAAAACATTGTTTTATTTTTCAGAAATGCTGGAAGGGGTTTCAGCTCAGTCAAAAATGAGTGGGTTTGTTGGGCCAAAACTGCCCTTTCTGGTTCCTAAAGTTTCCTATGCTTGTTATGAAAAAACCCAAGATTAATGATTAGGTGGTAGAAAGTGGTGAAAAACATCAACTAAGGAGCTACTTCTCAACAGACAGGACATGGTGTTTCAAAACACAGTGCTTAACAGCATTAACCTTGAGGAAGTAATGCTGGGAAGAATTTCCACCATTTCTGCTATCCTGAAAAAAAATTAATCCCATTAGCCACAACCCCCCAGTTCATTACCAAGCAGAACAGCAAGTTCGACATCTGCCCATGAGGATCTCTGGATGTATAGTTTGGTGGGATTTACCGTAAAAAAGCAGCACAGAAGAGTAGGAATTTTAAGGAAAAGAGGACTTACAGTACATTGCCTTGGGCCTCTGTCCTCACTGAAGGTGGCAACAAGTTCCTAGATTGCATAATGCTGCTCTATTTAGTTTTAGTTGAAGAGAAATACAAACCTGAAAAAACAACAGCTACTCACTGGTTCAAACAGACACATTTGGCATTCCAGCCCACCGTCCCTGCACTAACTTGTCGTTTCCCCCTCGTTGCCTCCCAGGATTATGAAACGGCGACATGCCTACAGTTCCAAGTTTTCTATCCTACAACTGTAAAACTTAGATTTGCCAAAAGTATGACTACGACCCCTAGAAATCATCCCATCCCTTTACGCACATTACGTTTATGGGATGGAGCGTCACATGGTACATACAGTGCCATCAGCATTTTCCTAACAATGCGACTGAAACACCATGGTCTCAAACTTCTCTTCTCACTCTTACAATCAGCCGGTCAGAAACACCACATTTGTGATCTCACTTAACTCCCCTCTCCTAACAACTCCAGGAATTCCAAAAAGCGATCTGAAGAGCAGCATCCGATACGATCCCCAACGTAAGCCATTAAACCCGGCTCTCCTACATGAAAAGATGCTTGGCTGACTTGAGATACCTGATTTCCTCTCTGCTGTCCAATCTCTCATTCTCTTGTGGCGCTCTGTTCCCAAAATAGCGGGTCCCTACGCGCAAGGGGCTCCCTTTCTAGCCCATCTCATACCTCACTCCAGCTGAAATAAAGAAAACCCGTGGAGCAGGAATACGGTATCCCATCGTCCTTGTCCAAAAAGCTTAAGAGAAACTGTGAAAAGGGAATCCTAAGGTTAAAAAAAAAAAAAGCGCCCTACTAAAATAAATTAGGTAAAGTTCTGAAATCAACATCACTTTTGAGGCAACCTTTCCAGACACCTCTTGGGTTCCTTTCTTCTCTGAAGCACCTTTTAAGTTGTATGGTTGTAAGAATAACTTTAACTATAGAAGCTATATGCATCTTTTAAGAATCACATTTTGATGATTATAAAAATTTATCTATTATACAACATAGGTCCAGCTACACTGAAAAAATTACACCGCTTATTGAAATACATTTCATTTTAGAAACAGACTACTAAATAGGTCTATACAAAAAACTCTAAAATAATTTCTGTAGTAAAATAAAGAGTGTGTTAGGAGAGCTACACAAACAAGAAATTTTTTTGTCTTTCTTTATAATGCTCAAATATACTGTGATACGTGGCTGGCTCAGTCCATAGCCGGCACCAAAAGCTGAAAAGAATCCATTACGATACACAGTGATACAATTAATGCTCTGTATTAATCTCACAGCCTTTCCGATTAGTACAAAGAAAACCAGGCCTATCTCCTCTTTGAGGAGAAGTCCAGGATATAAAAGCAAGCATACCTCATCAGCTGATATGAAATTATAAAATTCCACAAGTCTCAGTATCTGAAATTTATAAAAGTCACCAGTAAAACGCAAGCAAATTGGGTTTAAGTCCTGTTGGTTCCCAGGTTCAAATGAGCACTGCTGATCCAAAACAGGATTTCCTCGTTTGTTAACTGATTCAAAGGAAAAATTAGGACCATCTGCTGGGGCTAAGAGAAAGACAAAGATCCTCACCAACTAACCCTCCGTATTTCCACGAGGGCACGTTTCCATGTGCATAAAATGGGGAAATAGCTGGCAGGAAGCAAAGATGTTAGTGGTGCTGTGCTGAACTGTTCTTTTCTGCCAGGTGTCGCAGAAAGTTGTCCTCACTCTGGCCTCTGTGATTTAAAGGCTCGCTCTTAAAAAGAGCTGGAGGAGGGGGTAAATGAGGAACCGGGGGGACTGGGAGGTGGTGTGGATGGTGAGGATGAGGATGTAGGTGAAGGTGTGAATATGGGTGGGGAATGGGGCGCGGAGGAAGTGTGCTCACTGGGTTCAGGTTGATAGGTGGAGTTGGGGCAGTGGGTGCGTTCACTACAGCAGGGACTGTGGTGGCCGAAGTCGTGGACAGTGGGATCTGGACAGCAGCTGACACGTTGACGGGGCTGGTAACACGGAAGCACTTCTCCTTGTGTGCCTTCAGCATGTTGGAGAAGCGAAATCGCTGGCCACACACATCACATGGGTAGGGCTTCTCCCCTGTGTGAGTTCTGCGATGTCTCTTCATGTTTGGGCGGCTGGTGAAGCTCTTCCCGCAGATTTCACAGATAAAGGGCTTCTCTCCTGCCGAACACAGATAGGGCAATCAGTTAGGCACAGAACATCTGCTAACGCTTACTTCAGCACGCTTACACAAACAAACTGCATCCTACAAAAGCTTCCGTGACTGCTACCTTCAGGAAACAGAGACAGCTGTTCCGCAGGAGTCCTCAGTCTTTACGAAAACTTCTCTCACTTTTGGATTTTGATGCACGAGACAATCTTTTATAAGGCTTGGGCAAGGGGCTCCTTCAGACCAAAATAACAAGGAAGTAAGCCTAACCTCTCACTTTCCCCCGCAGTGAATCACAGGACTGCAGACAGTTAAACGTAGCAGTAAGTTAACGTATTAACACTTCCTGCCCGATTTTCTAGGTGGGATAACAGCTTTGATCCTAAATTCCACGGAAGGGAATACAGCTGAAAGTATAGGAAAGCTTTTGTCCTGGAGGTACTCGTGTTTTTCTTTGGTAAGTTCTTACCAGTGTGTGTTTTCATGTGCTCATCAAAGTACTGTTTCATGTTGAAGTCCTTGCCACACCACTGGCACATGAACTGTTTGTGCCCAATGTGGATGCTCATGTGGGAACGCAGCTGGTACTTGTACTGAAACCTCTCATCACAGTTCTGCAACAGAAAAACAGCAACCCATGATATTCAGGCACCACACATCAGGAAGCAAGGCAGTCATGGGACAGCACACAAGCATGCTATGTGAAGGAGTAAACAATACTTGAACCAGAACACAGACCCTCACACAAACACAGGATTCAAATTATTTAGCCAGAGTAGGATTTGGTCTGTAGTAAAAGGTCTGCTGGCACAAAGGCCTTGGCAAGGAGTGTGGAACAGTCACAACCTTCAGTTGACACAGCTGTTGGCAAAAGCCCGGTGGAGACACAGTTATGCCAACAGAAAAGTGCTTCTGTTGGCTTAAGGTATCATTTGGAGGTTTTGCAGCTTTGCCAGCAATCTCTGCTGGACTACGGCATGCCTCCACTAGAGGACTCTGCTCACACAGCAAAACCCAGGGCAGCTCTGTGGCAGGGG